ACCACCCACCTTGCTTCATCTTCTCATGAACATACCCCTTCTGAGATGATTTGCTTGCCTAGAACGCCTCTCCTCTCCCTCCACCAAAATGAAAGCCCCACGAAGGCAGAGGTTTGTCTCACATGCACTGCAGTGGCACCAGGGGCTGCCTCAGAGCCGGCACAGGGCAGACTTTGCCGAATATGCACTCCCCAAACCGGCAGCCGCCAGCCGGTGGTCCGGGAGGTTCCAAAGAGAAACGAATGGGACTCAGAGAACTGCAGTGACTTGCCCGAGGCCACACAGCTGGTAATGAGCCAGGAGGGAGCCCAGCCGGTGGAGGAGGGGACTTAGGGGTCTCTCTGGAACCTGGGGGCGCCGGGGGGTGACCAGACACAGCCCCGGAGGACCAAAGGGGGTCAAGGAAGCCAACCTGCCACCATCACCTTCATCCTTAAACAACGTGTGGACTGTATAAAACTAATTAAACAGCCTCTCTGGGGGAGCCATTCGGTAGTGAGAGTGCTACTCAGTGTCACCCAAGGAGGCTTTGGGGAGGTGACAAAGGGTTCGCTTTAGGAGCTGGAGGGGGTGGCTATAGGAACCTTGCGCCCCCGCCTGCCTGGCCCCCCTTTTTCCTCCTCCCCAATTCCATCTCTACTTTTTCGCGTCCACTCACAGCAGCATGTCGGGCGTGGGGTGAGCGAGGAGCAGTGGCTGTGCCTGCCCCAGGGCCTCCGGGGATGCAGTGACGCCTCTCTGCTGCCATGAGGTCCTGCCTCCCGGGCAGTGTGTGGCCTTGCACACGTCACCTGGTCTCTTCAAGTCTCCGTTTCTTCCTGCATAAGACGGACACAGCCCTGGCTGGTTTGGCTCAGTTAATAGTGTCAGCCTCCGGGTGGAAGGGTCCTGGGTTTGATGCTGGTCACGGGCACATGACCAGGTTGCGGGCTCGATCCCCAGTAGGGGGCGTGCAGGAGGCAGCTGATCCATGATTCTCATCATTGATGTTTCTATCTCTCTCTCCCTCTCCCTTCCCCTCTGAAATCAATAAAAATATTAAAAAATAAAAGGAGACAGTGAAATTTGCTGGTCTCTGAAGATTAGAGGTACTGTGTTATACGTCAGGAACCCATACTTCAAGCACATGGTAGATACTCAGTAGAATACGTGAGCACTGTCATTTTCGTATTTATATTACACTTCTCTGATTGTAATCGAATTGACACAGGGACTGTCACTCTGTTAACTGAACAGTTCCTGTATGCCAGGCTCTGGGCCCAGCACTCTGTGTGGGGTACCTCGCTGACTCCCCGTACTAATGCTACACGAATAGGTGCTATTATTACCATCATCCCCATGATTATGAATGAGGACAATGGGGCTCCCAGGAGTGAAGTGACTTGTCCAAGGCCACCCAACCAGAAAGTAACAAAGCTGGACTGAAGTCCAGGTAGGCCCACGTGCAGATCGTGGGCTTTTAAATATTAACAATCCTGCCTCTCTGAACTAATGAGCCAAGGGCTTGCTGTGCTCTAGGAGGTAGACCTGGGATAAGGAGAAAGTGACAGGGCCAGAGAGGGTCCTGGGAAGAAGCAGAGGCCCAGCCTCCATCAGGAAGTCAGCAAGAGCCCGGCCAGCGTGGCTCAGTGGTTGAGAGTTGACCTATGAACCCAGAGGTCACATGCCCGGACTGTGGGCTGGATCTCCAGTGGGGGGCGTGCAGGAGGCAGCTGAGCAATGATTCTCTCTCACCATTGATGTTTCTATCTCTCCCCCTCCCTGCCTCTCTGAAATCAATAAAAATATATTTAAAAAAATAAAAAGAGATCATTAAGGAAGTCTGGGGTAGAGTGGTGTGTGGGGGAGTGAAGCCGCAGTGTGGGGGCCTGCGGCTCTGAGCCTCTGACTCATTCAGACGGAGCAGCCACAGGAGATGCTATTTATAACCTGCAGGTTCTTGCAGCCTCTGAGCAAGAAGCCGCAGACACCTGGGCCCTTCTCCCTGGGCGAGGCGGGGAAGGTAGGCGGTGGGGAAGGCCGTGCCTGAGCCTCCTTTCACCTTGCTCTGGACTCTCCAATCAGCACCAAATTCACGGCCCTGTAGCTCACTGTGGAGGGGTCCAGCTTGTCAGCAGTGCCTGGCACCTGTGAGGCATGAATGAGTGAGTGAATGAATGAATGGCAGTAGCTTCAGGCTTTTTAATTAGGTCAGATCATGTCATATCTCTGCCTCAAACTCTCCAGTGATCCCCCATCTCATTGCACGTAAAAGGGAAGGTCCTTACGGTGGCTACAAAGCTCACACAGGCCCTTCTGCCCTCCCCTCCTTGTTCACCTCGGTGGCCCCTTGTTGCTTCTGGGAACATACAGGGCATGTTCCTGCCTTAGGGCCGTCCCCACCTCCGGGGAGACTCTTTCCACCCGGATACTGGTATGTCTCCTCCCTCACCTCCTTCCAGTCTTTGCTTAAATGCCAACTTGTCAGGAGGCCTTCCCTGGCCATTCTAGTTACACTCATGCATTACACTCCTATACCCTTTCCCACCTTAATTTTTCTCCATGGCACTTGCCATCATCTAACATAGTACCTATCATGTAGCCCCCCTTCATCTAGAGGGGACACATCCCAAGACCCCCCTGTGGATGCCTAAAACCACAAATAGCACCAAGCCCTCTACGCTGTGCTTTTCCCACACACACCGAACTATGAGAAAGCTCACAGCTTCTCTTCGGCATATCGGAATTGTCAGCATCACCACTCTCGTGCTTTGGGGCCATTGTGAAGTAAGGTAAGGGTTACCTGAACACAAGCATCGCGGACCACAACAGTCTACCCGATCACTGCGATGGCTACTACGGGACTAATGGGTGGGGAACAGCTAGAGCATGGACACGCTGGACAAGGGGATGATTCCCGTCCGGGGGGGGGGGGGGGGGGGGGGCAGAGCGGGCCAGCGAGATCATCACACTACTCAGAACAGTGAGCAACTTAAAACATATGCATTGTTTCTGGAATTTTTCACTTAATATTCTCAGACCCGCAGGTAACTGAAACCGTGGAAAGCAAACCGTGGATTAAAGGAGACTACGGGCCCAGGTATCTGTCTGCTCCTATTAGAATGTCAGCTCCGGGAGGACAGAACATTTTGTCTGGTTTGGTCTCTGCTGTGTTCCTGGTGCCTAGAACAGTGCCTGGCACACAGATCGTGCTCAGTGAACACACGGGGGCTGCATGAACTCACTGGGATTGTCACGGACCTGCTGCGGAACCTTGGACAGCTCACATCACCTCTCCGGACCCTAGTCTATGAGACTCAGCCACCTCCCTGTGCAGACAGCCCTAGGGCTCTCTCCCTTCAGCCTACCTTTTAGGATTTTTTTTCCACAACATTTGCTAATGGGAGAGCTGGCCAAGGCCTGGCTTGGTATGTTTCTGCCAGATTCAGCTTCTCTGTGAGTGTTCAAGCCTGTGAGCAGCTATTCCACCACTCTTGCATCTATGTCAGGGGCTGTGAGCAGATGCATTTGTGTGAACGAGCCTCTACATGTGTTTGGGAACCTGGCTGAGAGGGGACTTTCAGCAAAACGTTAGCCCTGGTTCTATTTCTGTCCTCCTGCTTCTTTTTGTTTGCAATGGAGCAGGAAGTAGACGTTTCCAAGGGCAGGGCAGACCCTCCTCTAACTGATGGGAACACCCACTGCTCTGGAGAGGCCAGGGAGATCCTGTCGGCTGTGAGTCCTCACACCTGTAACAGGCTGTTTCCACTCCGCAGGAGCCAGCTGTGAGAGCCGCCGCGGAGCCGCCTGCCTTTCAGGGAGGGAAGCCCACAGGAGACCTGCAGGCTTCCGTGGGGATGCCGGGGCCATTTTTAGATCTCATCTGTTCTTAGTGGGAAGTCGGTCCAAACTCGTCCAGGTTTTATAGCAATCCCTGGCGTGCCTTCCTCTAGCACTTCCTTCAGGTCTTTGCTCAAATGCAAACTTCTTTTTAAAAATATATTTTTTTAATTGATTTCAGAGAGGAAGGGAGAAGTAGAGAGACATAGAAACATCACTGATGAGAGAGAGAATCATTGATGGGCTGCCTCCTGCACGCCCCACACTGGGGATCGAGCCCAAACCTGGGCATGTGCCCTGACTGGGAATCAAATCGTGACCTCCTGGTTCATAGGTCGACACCCACTGAGCCATGCCAGCCGGCTCAAATGCAAACTTCTCAGTGAGGCATTCCCTGATCATTCTACTTAAACTTACACCCATACAATACACTCCTTATTTCCTTTCCCTGCTTAATTTTCTCTATACTCTTACCACCATCTAACATTTTACATAGGTTATTACTGGGTTTTTGGAATTTTTATCATGTTCACACACTATCTCAATTACATGATCTCTTCTGTTTTGGCATATCCCGGCTTACCTAGCATAGTCCTGGCATCTGGTAGGCATCACTACATTTTGTTAGGAGAGTTAATTTTCATAAGAAATGGGCAGCAGGCAATACTGTCATTCTATAGATGATGAAATTGAGACTCAGTGGGGACTTAAACAGCGAGGACATGAACCTGGGCAGGCAGATGGCTTGGAACTACTGGGGAGGAGAGAGGGAACCTCCTCCCAGTGGCAACCACATTTGGAGAAACAGACTTTTGAAAGATGAGCCTGGCCCTAATAGAGCTTGGGCATTTGGGAGCCAGAGAAACTTGGGTTCAAATCCCAGGACTATCAGTACCTGTACCTTTGTGTATTTTTGTTGTTTGTTAAAATATATTTTTATTGATTTCAGAGAGGAAGGGAGTGGGAAAGAGAGAGAGAAACATCAATGATAAGAGAGAATCATTGATTGGCTGCCTCCTGTATGCCCCACACTGGGGATCAAGCTCACAACCTGGGCATGTGCCCTGACCTGGAATCGAACCTTAACCTAGATCTACGCTCAACCACTGAGCCATCTGGGGGAGGGGGGGCTGTACCTTCGGACAAGTCCTAAAAACCACAGGAGCCTCAGTTTTCCCATCTGTAAGATGGACACATCAATCCCTACTACACTAAGCCGTTGAGAGTATTCTGTGAGATAATTCATTCCAATGACTGGCTCTAGGCGGTGCTCAATATATCCCAAGCCAGCCCGTGGCCTCCTGAATCCTTCTCCTACCCCCACACCACCTCCTGCCCTCAAGCAGCCGCAAGAGCCAGGCTACAGTGGGGAGACCACGTGATAAGTAACCCTCCGCGCATGCGCAGCCTCTGCAAGTCACGTGGCCGGTGCCACACAGCCGGCAGGTGCGAGGCGGGAGGACCGTTCTGCTCGTTCGCTCTGTGACCCTTGGGCCCGTCACCGAGACGGGAGCTCCAGCTCCGGGGCGCCTGCATATGCGCCTGAGGTGGAGCGAGAATGCGAACCTTCTGGAATCCCCACCCAGGTTCCTTCCGCCTTTCCGCTGCCGGGGAGGCTTGGCTGGGCCCCGGAAGCGAAGGAACCCCGACCAAGGAATCGGTAAATATGGCCGCCATCCGGCAGGACAGCCTCCCGGGCCGCCCTTCCCATTGGTTCCGGAGGTGTTGGGGCGGGGACACCGGGCCTTTCCCGGGAGTGTAAGCGAGGAGAAGGGAGGCTGAGCTGAGCTCTGGGCACGAGGGGAGGAAGCGCGCGGGGACCTGGGAACAGGGCGCAGGTGGGAGGAGGCCTGGATGTGGAGGGCGCTCGGGCGGAACCGGCCGGGAAGCATCTTGGGCTTGAGCCTAAGAGCAGTGGGAAGCCGTTGAAGCCAGGGAATAATGTGGTATATATAAATATATTTTTATTGATTTCAGAGAGGCAGGGAGAGAGAGAGAGAGAGAGAGAGAGAGAAACATCAATGATGAAAGAATCATTGCTCGGCTGCCTTCTGCACGCCCCCCACTGGGGACCGAGCCCGCAACCCAACCCGGTGCCCGGGATCGAACCCCAAGCTCCTGATTCATAGGTCAACCTTCAGCCACTGAGCCAAGCCGGGCTAATGTGATCCTTACAGTCCTGTACGGAATAATATTTTTGCCTGGCTTGCTCGTAAAAAAAAAGGATTTGAGTTCCACACCTGCCTCACTAATTTTTATTGTTTAATTTTTTCATAAGTAGAAACTAAGGGAATGGTAGAATACGTAGTTACTCCAGGATGAAATGTGCTAGCAGATGCAAATTGCCTAGGCTTCTGTATGGGGCCTATAAATAGTCGTTCCCTTATCTTTCCTCTGAATTCTGTAATTTCTGCTATTCCAGGAGCAGCGGAGGAGCCCAATCCTCCCTACAGACTGAAGATGCATTTCATGTGAAGTGCACTGGACGGATGAAAACTCTGCATTGGTTCAAAGATCAGGTGGTGATTATTTTACATAATTATTATTCAAGTAGTGAGCTCCCCCCGATTATACAACGTATTTGATATATAGACATACAATTTGTAGTCATCTTTTTTCGTTGTTGTTAATCCTCACCTGAGGATATTTTTCCCATTGATTTTTAGAGACAGTGGAAGGGAGGGGTAGAGATAGAGAGAAACATCGATGTGAGAGAGACACATCGTTTGGTTGCTTCCCACATGCATCCTGACCGTGGTCAGGGATCGAACCTGCAACTGGGGTATGTGTCTTTGACCAGAATCGAACCTGAGACCCTCCAGTCTGAGGGCCGACACTAGGGCTATATTCAACCGTTAAAGAGCACGTTTATTGCATAAAACAAGACCAAGGTTCACAAAGTACAAGCCCATTTTTTTAAAATTTTGTTTTATTTCGTAAAGTATTACAAAGAGCAGTACATATGTCTCCTCCATTGGTTATGCTTATATGGATGCATACAAGTCCTTCGGTTGATCTCTTACTCCCCTCCCTTCTGCCCCCCAACCCTCTCTGGCCTTCCCACTGCAGTTTGACAATCAGTTTGAGGCAGCTCTGCCTCTGTATCTATTATTGTTCAAAAGTTTGTA